AGCGGCTGGAATTAGTTTGGTGTGGGGTAGAAGGGAAGAAATATCAAAGGGAATATCAATTTTTGTGCCAACAACTAGGAATTGACATATCTAGGCTGCTGGAGGAAATACGAAATGGCATGGGGTGCGAAATTTCATTTAAGTTGACCCTTTTTTCAGCGTGTTACATGAGAAATCAAAACCCAACACACTCCCTAGTATGTTTTCCCATATGATTTACTTATATTTGAGAACAACTTATAGCCGTGTGTTTTCTCTAAATTGAATTTGACAAGGGTGTTTAAATTTATACTACATAATCGTATATCAACTATTAATTATTTTGTAAATAATTAAATCAAATAAGGTTTAATTAAGATTTTAAAATTATTAATTTAAAATTTATAAATAATTGTGAAAATTAATATAATTAAAAAATCAAAATCAAAATATTTTAACATTTTAAATTGTCAAGACAATTTTAATCTTTCTCAATCCCATAAAATTATTAATTTTTTGTTTTCAAGGACAAAAATATGAAGGATGTTTTAGTAATTTGAATATCTAGCCGGCAGCAAACTTGTAGGCGCAAAGCTCCAAAGCCGCCAACCTTCTCCTTTCGTTGCCACCTCCTCCTCCTACCCACCTCCGTTTCTATAAATCCCTCCCCACACTTTTCCGCTATCCCCCAGAACAATCCAATACCTTCTTTTCCCTCGTAGAATCTCTCACCTTTCCTTCTCACTTTCTTTCTTACCTTTCTAGTTCAAAAATTCAGCTTCTTTCTCTCAAATTTCAGATATTCCCAAGAGATTTCACATTCCTGAATCCTGATTCCCCTGCATTGATTCATCTCTTCTTTTTCTCCCAAAGACAGTTGAGTTTTTCCCACAGTCTTGAAGAAAACCTTCAAACACCATGATTTCTTCGGTGAAACACGCGCCAACTTCATTCACTTCCGTTGATTTCTTGCCCAAGAAGCGTACAATCCCCAGACCGGAGTTTTCTCCACTACCCATCATCAAGAATGTACACAATGGCTTTAAAGTCCAATCCTTTGCTTCACAGAAGCCTCTTCATGTTGCTTCTGTTGAGAATTTTGGGATTTCGAGGGGTGCGGAGAAGAGCGTAACTGAGTGTAAGGCATATGAAGCGGATAGGTCGCGGCCTCTGGATATTAATACTGAGTTGCCGGACGAGGAGGCAAGGCTGGAGACGGCTAAGAGGATCAAGATTGGGATATACTTCGCTACTTGGTGGGCTTTGAATGTGGTGTTCAACATTTATAACAAGAAGGTTTTGAATGCGTTTCCTTTCCCATGGCTTACCTCCACTCTGTCTCTCGCTGCTGGGTCTCTCATAATGCTCATTTCTTGGGTCACGAGGGTTGCTGATGCACCCAAAACCGATTTTGAGTTCTGGAAGACCCTATTCCCAGTAAGTTCAGCTATTTCTTGCAAAATACTTTCCTTCTCTGGGTGTCTTTTGATCTGTTTGTTCAGAAGTAACGGGAAAAAAAAAATGAAAAACAAGAAGAAGAGAAATTAGAGTTTTTTGGCTGCATTTATGCTATTCAAGAGCTTGAAGGAAACACCGAAGGAAATGGACATGGAAATGTGAAATTTGCTTAAGTAGTTTATTTTTCTATTGGAATTACTTGCTGGCAGGCAAAAAGCTTGTGAAAATTCTGATTTAGCAGCATATTCTCTATGGTTTTTTTTTAGGTGGCGGTGGCACATACAATTGGGCATGTAGCAGCAACTGTGAGTATGTCTAAGGTCGCAGTTTCATTCACTCACATCATCAAGAGCGGTGAACCTGCTTTCAGTGTTCTAGTTTCCGGATTTTTGTTAGGTGAGGCATTTCCAATGCCGGTTTACCTATCACTCCTGCCCATAATTGGAGGCTGCGCACTCTCAGCTGTGACTGAGCTCAATTTTAACATGACCGGTGAGAAAAAATGATCCCATCTTGAGAATTTAATGTATTCTCTTAATTCTCATTGTCTCAACATTTTATGCAGTTTTGATGTTATTTTAGTACCAAGTTATAATGTTTTATAACTTATAATGTAGGTTTTATGGGTGCCATGATATCAAACCTGGCTTTTGTGTTTCGGAACATATTCTCAAAGAAGGGGATGAAGGGGAATTCCGTTAGTGGAATGAACTACTATGCTTGCCTGTCAATGTTTTCTCTATTGATTCTTACACCCTTTGCAATTGCTGTGGAGGGTCCTCAGCTGTGGGCTGCAGGCTGGCAAAAGGCGGTTGCACAAATTGGACCTAATTTTGTATGGTAAGTACAATGACATCTAATTTTTATGGACTTGCCGACTTTCTTTTGGTATTGAATTTCTCCATTGTCAGTTGCTTGATTTGATGGTGTTGAGATATTGTTTAGAAACAAAAGTAGATTTTGTATTCTGTATGATCATTTGAAATCTATTTTGTTTAAGAGGTAGACCTCATGCACATGTGTTGGAAAGGCCCCTGTGCGTAATTGTCTGCATGTCTTACAGGGACCAAGAAAAGAAGTTGATATTTTCTGATTCAAATTCTGAGCCAAAGATATTTAATAAATTGCCACCCCTGATCCCACCTCATTTGGTTGCACTTTTCGATGTGTCATATGCAGCAGGCCTTTTTCCCCTTGTCTGGTCCTAAGTTACTGAAATGGCCGAGTTATGTTGTTGTTTTTTGTTTTTGGCTGTAATAACCATTTTATTTTTTATGTTTTGTTTTGCTGCTAAGAAAATTTTGTGGCTATAAATTGACACAGGTGGGTGGTGGCTCAAAGTGTATTCTACCACTTGTATAACCAAGTTTCATACATGTCTCTCGATCAAATCTCTCCCTTGACATTCAGCATTGGAAACACGATGAAGAGAATTTCTGTCATAGTCTCCTCCATTATCATCTTCCACACGCCCATTCGACCAATCAACGCACTTGGGGCTGCCATTGCAATCCTTGGCACATTCCTCTATTCACAGGTATATTCTCCACTCTCTATGCATTCTGCCCCTTCAGAATTCTTTTGATATTTTGGGACCAAAGCCTTCTAAATATTTCAAGGACAAAATTGCTTTTTGTTTGAATCCTTTCACTGAAATCAACTTGTCTATAACAATACAAAACCTGTCAGGATAACCTTTCAGTCTCCCTCGGGCCAAGCAATGCAGTGTAGAAAACCCAAATTTTATAACATCCCTTGCCCCTTGAATCCCAAAGTTTACCTAGGTGAATTAAGTCCCAAAAGTATGTAGTTCTTGATATAAAGGATCAAAACCCATGCAATGTAGCCTTGAAATTGTGATGCTTATTCAGTGTCTTATTGTTTGCCATTCAAAGCCTGATGATTGATTGGCTGAATTCATTCTTATGTTCTTTTGGAGCAGGCAAAGCAGTGAGAGAGATGAGATTTTTGAGATTTTGATACAATGATGCAAACCAGAAAGCACATGAGGAGGATCAACTAGAAGAAAAACAGCATAGAAGATAGACAAACACTACAGCTACAGGATAACTTTTCTTCTGATGCACTGCACAGGGTTTCCTCCTCAAGATTAAGCAAGAATGTTCATCTCAATCTTAGCAACACCAATAAGTAGTAGACTATAGTTTATTTTCCTCCCCACTGTTATATGAGAACTTGAAGCCTGCTATGTTGTTGAGCAATAATGAATGTGAATAAAGTGGGTTTTTTGAATGCTATATTTCTGTTTTAATGAGTACATTGTAAAAATGTAGTTAAAATAACAAAAATTTGAAAAAAAAAATGTCAAGATTTTGATGGGCTTGGAGTTTTGGGCCCGGGATGGGCTTTGATTGGGCTTATGTGATATTATGGCTTGAATTTGGACCAAACCATTTGGACTTTTTGAAGGCTTGGGTTTGGGTTTTGCTTCCTCAATTGAAATATTGTATGCGACAAATTTTGAGATTAATTTAATCATTGGATTTTTTTTTTTTTTTGACCAGTGAGAAATTGGGGGAAGGAAAAATAATTATAATATTACTATATTGGTAGCTTAAACCCTTAACAAAAAAACTCAAATGCATAGGTGCACTGCTATCACGGTTAAGGCCGCAATTGTAATCATTGGATTTTTAAAAAAATTAAGAAAAATAATTCCCATACACTATACTATTCCAATAAAATAGCACGAAAAAGATTAAAAACTATTTAAAATTATATTTTTAAATTTTTTATTTTAATAATATTATCAAAAATTTATTGAAATAATATAATTTTAATATATATATTTTTTCTACGTCCGGCAAATGCATTTTTTCTCTTATTCTTTTATCAATTGTTAAATACTAATAACCTAGCCTTGCGGCCTAGTAGCAATAGCCACCCGGTGCATTCCCCCCTTTCGGACTGAGTTCGAAACCCGTCCCTTGCAAATATGTTCAAAATAAAAAAATTGTTAAATACTAATATGTCCGAATATTGGTTCAATGAAATTATTTGGGGAACAATAAAAAATACATCAATATGAGGTCATTATGCACCTCTTTTTGCTTTTGAGCTGAGGCCACCATGGACCTTTAATTTCATATCAAACTATTTTTTTATGTCAATAATTGGTTCTGCATCTTCAAATCATCATTATTAGTGAGCTTTCCTTTGATGTGATTTTTCAATAAACATTACCCACTAATGTAACCTCTCTTCTTTTCTTTTTTTTACACTTTTTTCTTTAAAATTTT